ATTTTATCATTTAAAAGGGAATGTGTTAATCTTATTAACAAAAATACATTAATTTTATTTCCTTTCTTATTTTTATAAAAAACATAGTAATTATTATTATTATTATTATTATTATTATTATTATTATTATTATTACAATTAATTTTTATTTAAATAATTTTACATTATTTAAATTATTAATTTTCCCTCAGCTTAGCCCCTTTATTCATCAGGGGTCGCCACAGTAGAATGAACCACCAACTATTCCAGCATATGTTTTACACAGTGGATGCCCTTCCATCTGCATCCCAGTCACTGGGAAACTTACATGTCCTGACACATACACACTCACCCACACACTTATATGCACAAAACGCACATAAACACACTCACACACAGACAGACATGCTGACACACACAAATGCTCACACAGGCATGCTCAAACATATGCACACACACACACACATACACACTCACCAACTTAAATGTGCACAAACACACACACACTCACACAGAGAAGCAAATGCTGACACACACACACACACTCACACTCACACTCAGCCACTTGATTTGTGTCTACAGTGTTCTCTGAGCGCTGCACATCTCTCTGTTGTCTTGATTGTTTTTCTCTCTCATCTTAATCGGTGAATTATATCTTATGCATGATCGACACCAAGAATAATTACAGATCAGTCTAGATTAATCAATGCTCTCCAAATCAAGTTGTCCAAGACATCTTGGTGATATTGCACTCATATCACAGTGTGTATTACAGACAACACACACCTGCACCTGAGATGACCTGACGGGGAGAAATCAACAGCACATTTTCAATTTCTGCGTGAACTGACCCTTGAACTGCATGAGGCCAGAAAGTGTGTGTGTGTGTGTGTGTGTGTGTGTGTGTGTGTGTTTTGTGTGTGTCTCTTTTTCTGGTGATTGGTGTGTGTGTGTGTTACAGATGATATCTGATCTGAGCTGCCGTCACTACTGAGAGCACAACAGAGCCATGAGGAAACACAGACTACACTTAATCACATTACACTGAACACCAGGCAGAAACACACACACACACACACACACACACACCATGCTGTAGATGACCAAAACATCACCACAGCAATAACCCTAATATAAGATGACTGAATCTGATCTGATAACTGATCAGGTCAGAGTGCATTATTCTGTGTATATCATGATCAGCACACACTCTTTAACATGAGCACGAGAGCATTTCATATCTTCATAATAATAAACAACTGAAAATATTATTGTTGTGCAGCAGGTGTGTGTGTGTGTCATGATCCAATCAGAATCCAGCATTCAGCAGCCAAGAGTGAAGTGTAATCTTCAAGAACACGTCAGAATCAATATATACTGTAACACACACACACACACACACACACACACACACACACACACACACACACACACACACACACACACACACACACACACACACACACACACACACACACTAATGGAAACTACAAATCAGCATTTATTCAGTGTATGTGAAACTGGTGTGAGCCTTTGTAAAACACACACACACACACACCTCTAAACAGGAGAGCAACGCTACACACAACACCACAGATCTTCACACCTAACACTGAAAAATCAACACTTCAGCTAAAACTGAACAGAAACAGCCTCAAAACCACAAACAACAACTGCAACTACACACTATATTTATACACACACGCACGCACGCACACACACACACACACACACACACACACACACCTCTAAACAGGAGAGCAACGCTACACACAACACCACAGATCTTCACACCTAACAATGAAAAATCAACACTTCAGCTAAAACTGAACAGAAACAGCCTCAAAACCACAAACAACAACTGCAACTACACACTATATTTATACACACACGCACGCACACACACACACACACACACACACACACACACATACATATATATATTTATGTCAATTTTGTGTGTTGCAATAATTTTATCCATTTTAGTTCAATGTTCATTTTATTTTTTGCAATTTTTACTTTAGTCTTTTAAGCACATCGAGATCTCCTGAAATAAGAAGAGACTGATCTCATCAGCTGATAGCTCCTGTTTTACTTATTTCACTTCATATAAATTCTGTTTCGAGAAACACACATGGCTCTATCATACACCCGGCGCAAGACGTGAAGCAATTGTTGTTTGCCAGTTTCAGCTCGGCGCAAGAGTGGTTTTGGCCTTTTTGCAGCACGCTGTTTAAATAGAAATGCATTTGCGCTCATATGTGCACCCATACAGTAGGTGTTCTGCTCTAATAAAGGAGGTGTGTTGAGGCGCACTGCTGGCACGATGTGAAAAACTATAATAGACCAGACCAAAGCAAGTCCATGGTCCAGCGCAGAGCACGTCAGGTGTGCGCCTCACTTACACACCGCTTAGTACACACAGAATGTACAGCATTACACAGATATCTGTACATATGAAGAAGAATTAAAGGATTCAAATATTACCAAAATGATTATTTTCTAGCCTGCATCAATATAAACAGCACCGCCTCCATGCCTTCTTCACATCAGGAGGCTTTTTCAGTTTATTCATGTCAATTTGCTTTTGTATAATGTTATTATTAGTAGCAGTTTTATTTATTATATGCATATTTATATTTGCTTTATTAAAAACAAGCTTAGATTTGTCCGCCTGTCAGGTTTTAGACTATATGGGGCACAGCATGTGTGTTTGGATATAACTCAGTTTTCTGACCACACTTCATTATTACTGTTCATTTATTCGCTTGCTGGAGATTAGAACTGAATTTAGAACTGATGTCTTTGCGCTTAATAAACAAAATTAATTATGGATTTGCTAATGTCTGTGTACAACACGTTTCCCTATCCATGAGAGTGAAATTGAAAGTAAATAATGAGGAGGCTCATCTCTCATTCTCGCGCCGCAGATGCTCTGTTTAACTGTTTTCTCACTAGTAAACCGTTCAGTTTTTACACTTACAAAGTCGCCATGTAAATAGTGAATGTGCCATGGCGCGGCACCACTGGCTCTTAAAGGGAATGGGAGACGAGACTCTGATTGGTTTATTCTCAAAACACACCTATAACTCATTAAGAGAATAAACTCAACCCTGTTAGACCATGTGCCGCGGCGCAGAGCGGATTTTTCCATCCTTAAAAATATCAAAAGTGGACTCAGACACAGCCTTAATGCTTTTGTGCCCTGCGCTTTGGACTTTGTGCCTAGATCGTCAAAATAGAGGCCACGTGAAGTTTTACAGTTTCATTCATTCATTCATTCATTTTGCTTCAGCTTATTCCCTTTATTAATAAGGACTCGCCACAGCGGAATGAACTGCCAACTTATCCAGCATATGTTTTACACAGGAGATGCCCTTCCAGCTGCAACCCAGTACTGGGAAAAGTTTAGGCTTAAATTATAGAAATGTTTTTTAGGGTAGCACAGTGGCGCAGTGGGCAGCACAATCACCTCACAGCAGGAAGGTCTCTGGTTTGAGTCCCGGCTGGGTCAGTTGG